TGGCTCTGCCCACTCATCCCATCACCTCTACCTGGAGATGGGATAAACTTCCAGGTCACAGGGTCGCTGGAACCCACCCGGTAACAGCTGAAAGTCTGAATATTAACAGGCTGTGTGTCTTTACATTCGTGGTGATGGTTAATGTCCTCAGGAGCAGCAACTGGGAAGATCACCTCAGTTTTGAAGATGTAGATTGGGATGGGAAGAAGCAGGAATAGTGTGTGGTGGTTTAAGATGTTACTGGGGAAAACTGCGTACCAGTATATTCTCCAGTAAACCTGTGCTGAGACTAAGAAACGATATATCTTCTTTGGAAGGTACATCAAGCTAAAGGTAATCTGTACACTCATTGAGGCTGGCCTCCGAATATTAACACAGAAATTAGCAGCGTTCCTTGGGAACACTGAGCACTGAACATGTATTTAAACAACACTTAAATAAGAATGTATGTTATCGATCTTGAACAATCTATCATTTTAAATGCTTTTTAACAAGCACTCGCCATTACTGACTATGATTCCTGGGTAGTCACCCTTCTAGGAGTCGTAACTACTTAAATTAGCCTTTGTTATACTGTTTAATTTGCCCAAATCTGAAGGTCACACAAGGATTATAAAATACACAATCATTAGACTCCTATCTGCTGTTGTGCGTTAGCTGCTAGGATCATTATATGCTTGTGCTTTCCCTTTGTCTACGTCCACTGCTCAGCTCCAGCTGATTTTACACTGAGCTGTTTACTGATTATTGTCGTGGGGCATTTAGAGCATCGAGAGGGGGTTCACAATGATGTCTTAACATCTCCAGGACAACATATGTGTAAGAAAAACCAGAAATTGTACTTGGTGTGAAATATATAGTGTTGCAGTTGTTTACAAAGTAATGTAAGGTCCACCTGTGGAGGGCATGTGTGAACTTTCCCCGTGTTTCCCACTACATTGTCCACATTACAGCTACTACGGGACTACAAACCAAACCTACAGTGTAACATGATGTGTACTGACTCAAGCAACTACAGTGTCCAAATTCCCTACTACATACTAATTGTACACAGTATTGGATGCTAATGTTAATAGCATCCTGTTTTGGTTAGTATAAACAATATTGACACACTTGACTGTTTTTTTTACAATACTTTTGATACGATATTTGCACTGTCAGAGACGTCAATCAAACTGTGACTTTGCAGTGTTACTGTCAATTAAAATTAACAAAGAGAAAAACAAAATGTTTTTCCAAAACATGTATGATTCATTATTTGTTGCTTTGATTTAGTGTGTAGTGTGGATTTTGGGACACATGTCTTAGCACTTGTTTACACATTACAATCCCTTTCACCCTCTTTGTGCACTTTTGCTTGTGTCATTTTTATTCTCCTGGCCTTAAAATGTAGTGAAAATGACAAGCCTTTGTTCTGGCAGGTGCTCTTTTGGCTCCTTGTGCCACAGCCAAAAATATTCTGTGTAATAAATATTGTTAATTGTTATAAACGCATGTATGCTTAGCTACTTTCTTTTTGTGCTATTTCACATGGGTCACACCATTTGAGGTTTGTTTTTTGCCATTTGATTTGTGCTTCAATAAACTGTGTCAAGGGAACCATTGAAACGTGTTTCATTTTATTATCATTATTTATACTTTTGAAGTTAAAATAGTTGTTTTAATAGTATAATGCGGATTGTTTTTGCAGTTCAGATAATCGGTTTGAAGCCGGTTTGTGTTCAGCGGTTAGTTTATAAACCGTCGCTGTTGTTGCCAGGTGACGGTTCCTGGGCTTGTTATGGCGGCCGGAACTAACATTACAATTTAACGACCATAATAACATCATTAGTGTGGGTTTACTCGCTGGTAACGCATTTTTTGTGGTCCATTTTAGAGCGGATATCGGTGTAAAAGATTAACGCTGGCGGTTTTTGCTTGTAGGTAGTTAATTAGGTGAATTTTTGGTCGACTTGAGGTTTGTCTAGCCTAAGCTTTACTGTGAGATATTAACTAATGGTAGCGTAACACAGCAAGAGCGTCAACAAGTCTCCCTGTTAATGTGTCTAACACTTAAACTATGGGAATTTAAAATTGTAGCTGTCTAACCAGCTTATGTTGAGGTTAGAGCGGTTCTTTTAAAAATCTAGCTTTAGCTAAATTAGATAATCTTGGCAATGACACGAAGCATATTAGTTAACGTTAGCTAACTTTACTTTTAAAATAACCTCATAAAATGAATGAAATTCTGCTTATCAGCTAATGTTATATCTGCATTAGCCATGCCACATTTATTGGCTTTCATAGATGCAGATATTGCAGAAAAGGGCGGTTAACGTTGACTTTTACTTGAGAAAAAAAAAATATATATTGTTGCAGGTCTCATTATGTTTGTATAGTTAACGCTATATGCTTTATGGGAGTTTTTAAAGAATGAATGTATGTTATACCAGTTAGATAAGTGAACTGGATCAGTAAATCTAGTCTAAAATATATATAAAAAGCTGTGTGTTGTTCCTCATTTAGGTGGACTGTGTATCCATCAGAAGCACCAGGGAGGAGTAAACCAGCAGGATGGACATCACAGAGGAAAATATGTGAGTGAAGGTCCCTGAACACACCCACACACACACATACTGTTAGCAGCAATATATGAATGT